AGTATTAGATAATACCATCATGACAAGCAAATGAATCATACAAGTTATATTACAATGACAGCATACCTGCTGACATTCCTGAAGCAGTTAAGTCTTTCCTCTGTACACTTTCCGGGCCGTGGGGAGTAAAAGCCAGTCTTGCCGGGTTGGTGGAACAATGGAGAACTGTCATCTTCAGAATCATCAAGATCCCCACCAGGGCTAAGGGAGTCATCATCTGCATCCTTTATTGGTTTCCTGTGAAGGCAAAACATCTGCTATCAGACTGTCGCCGTGACAAAAAGTACCAACAATGAGTTTTAGGGTTGTCTAGACTTGGCAGTTTTGGACATTCACAGATCCCTTGGCAGATGACATTCACTGCCTCTGCTTCTTCTTCTAGACTAACGACTTCTCCTACCCCATCGGGTTTCTGAAAATGCCACTTTCAATGCATCCTTTTTAAGTCTGGATTCTCCTACACTCTGTGGTAACCACACGAGGGGCACAAGTTAAGGGAAGTATACAGGAAACAACAACAACAATGAAAGAATTTTTACCATTAAAAAAATTATCCACTTACTTGCCAGATACAAGAAGAAGCTCCACAGCTTCCTCAACTCTTTGTCTTAAGGTGTCTTCACTGGCTAAAAGCAGCAGTAACTGGGCTGGAGATAGCTCCAGTAACATGCCTGTGATCTTGCTAGCAAGTGACTGAAAGAGGGACAAAATGGGAAAATATTTACCCACGTTACAATGGTAATCTCAGTAATCACCTCTTGCCACCCAGCACTGGTAAACTGTTAAGGTAATGCTGGGGGTAACTAACAGTGAGCTAAAATGTAGCCTAGTGATAGTAACAATACTCTCGCTCTCTTCGTAGCTTCATGTTACAGAAAAAAAAAACCAAGAGTCAAGTGCACGTAGTGTTTTGAGCTGCTAGGTTTGTGATGACTCACACTACATACTATTCTAGCATTTTGAGGCTATAAACGACAGAACTTACAGGCTGCAAGGCGTGTACACGTGGATAGAGCCTCTCTCCCAAGGACTTCCTGTGGTACGGCAGTGAATCACCATCAGCGTCCTCTCCATCAGCGCTGCTGCTACCACTGAAGTGGAATGCTCGAGCATCAGCTGACAGCTGTCTTCTCACGTCACGTTCACGTTCACGATCACGCTTGCAACGATAACTTGGGACTCGTTTACTGCGATGAACTATGCCTGTTGTGATTGGAATAAAAACATAGTGTAATGTTAATTTTTAAACACAGAGAACCAACACAGTAGAGGTAACTTAAGTATAGAAGTGTTAAGTACATTAACAAACAAGCACGAAACTAATTTGTTATTCCTTTTTTTCAAACAACAACACAATATTGAATCTTCAGTAACAATCTTGCTTCACTTCAGTGAATTAACAAGATTTTTGCCCAAGAATAGCACAAAAAATGAAAAAAATAAAGAAATAAATTGTCAGCAAACATAAGCATTCACTCTACAAATGTAAGTGTTCAAATTAAAAAGGAAAACAAAATCGATTGTATGTAAAATTGATAACCATGATAAAAAAGATTAGACATATCTCTACGACATTTTGAAGAAATGTTTCTTAGTCAAAAGGAAGCTTACTTCTGCTGGGTTCCAGAGCAGGTAGTTTTTCTCCAGATAAGAACGCTTCTCCTACTGCAGTGTAAAAGCTCCTTGCTACCCCACTGCCCTCGCCTGGTTCATCCTTGAATGTGACCTTCACACGATGTATAGTCATGGGGCGAGACCTGGGCCCACGACGGCCAAACTGCGTGTTAAGCTGCCTGATGGTCTGTTGTATCAGTGTGGCTCGGTCACGCTCAACCTGAGTCAGATCACACACATTCAAGTTTTCAAATCTTCTTGCCAAACTCATTAATACTTCACCAAGTTTAAACAAAGAACATCATGACCCTGACGGTGTTTGGATATCTGATCTAAATTAACAGA